TCATAAAGTTGGCAAAATCGCTTGATCCCAGATCCTTAAAAGGATTCAAGTATTTTAGTGGCAAAAGAGACCACACATCCTTTAGACACTGGCTTTGGAAACCAAGATAATTTCTAAATGCATTTCTTCTAGAAGTGAATATATAACCCACAGAAGACTGCAAACAAAATTGCCCCGATACTGCTGAAGTGGTTAGCAGTGATTTGACCTCAATTTATGGACCTCTGTCTTCTGTATCACAGGGGCCAAAAGAACTTAGTCACAGACACAGAACTACAGAGCTTCCAGTAGCGTGCCATTTGGCCATATTCACCATATACTGATGCCAAGAAGTTGCCTGTTCAAGGTACCTTTTAAAAGCCACTGGAAGACATTCTGCAGTGGTTATGTTCAACCTACCTTTCCTACTGGAACCAAGAGCATCATCATCCAGATCTTCATCAAAGATTTCCCTTCCATCTTCTATGTAGCCTACCCCATCTGTAGAAAAACAAATTGCTAAAAACTTCCATTTTAAGTTCTTATCTTCTGATATTTCTAAATATATTCATAATCAAAAGTTTTACATATTTAATCACTTTTCCCCTTTAATATAGTGCAAAAGTTATAAATGCAAAAGTGTTAAAAACTACAGCACTCACAGCTGTATCTTCTATTACACTAAATATATTATTATATACGTGTTTAACTAGAAACTATCAATTACAGTACTTCTTTTTAATGTTACATCACTGATAACCGGAAATAAAATTTCAAAAACAACTCTTAGTGGAAAAATGTTTTCATTACCATCCTAATACACTACTGTGAGAACAGTGCAAAAGATTCATTTCCATATAAAAGCTTGTATTTTTCTTGTCTCCTAAAACAATTTGTAAGAATGTACTAAGGATAACTTACCTCAAATCATGAATACTATGAAGCCTAATTGAGTTATAACACTATAATCAAACTAACTCTCCAAATGAATCTTAACTTACCATCATCAACAATCCAGTCATCATCCTGACGCTCTCTGACCATCTTGGAATATTCTTCCTCATCTATTTCATCATAAACACCTGTGAACTCCTCAACCTACAGTTAAGGTATACTGAGGATTAACAGTTCTCATACCATTACTTTTTAATGTATGTCATCAGTAAGAACATAAAAGTTCCCAAGAAATGCATGGTTTCCTACACTGTTACATTGTTCACAACTAGTAAGCGCAGTTATTCATTCAGTTTAAGTTTTTTTTTTGGCAGCGACAAAAAACAAGTTGTCAATTTTTAAGATTATCACAGTGTATTGAAACCCAAAACCTACTGAAGCCCTGGCAGGAACTTCATTTGAAATCGACTTGCTTTACTGCTCATTTCACATTACAAAATAGGGAAAAAAAAATAAAAATAAATAAAAATCCTAGCAATGGACATTTCTGACCTTTGGCTATAGCCTCAAACACCAAAACGAGCTCAATGAAAAGGGAAGTGATTTGATGTGCCCAAGCATAATGTTGAAAATACTCTTTTTTGCCTCAGAGTAAATCTGTGTATTAATGATGTACACACTTCAGGCTTCTTTAGATTTATCCACCTCAATGTGGAAGTCGCTTCCTGTTGGCATCACAATTAATTGGGCAGCACTGACGTTACACTGCCAGATTTAAGTTCTACCAGTTAAATACTTGGATTTTGGTTTCTCTGTGGAAACATAGCACATCAGTGTTAATGGATTTCAGTCATGTAAAGCTTTGAAATTCATATGAAGTTTAAAATAAATTGAAGTTAAAGAAAAAAAAAAAGTACTTCCTACCATGACATTATGTAATTAAATTTTAAAAGTTGGTCCTTCCCTGTAGAATAGTTATCAAGCATGTTTGACTTGTATTTAGTAAAAACTGTTTTAGTTTTGAAAATAGAAAAAAACAAATAAATGATACCAGAAAGCAGCAAAACAACTACAGTTACATTCTGAACAACATACACCGTTAAAAAACAAAAGCTGCTCTGAAAGACAGATTTTTGTTTCTCATAACTTTTAGATACATATAAAGAGTAGTTAAGCATCTCAGCTCACATTCACTTTTTATTAAAAAGAAAAGATGAGGAATTTTTACCTCATATTTTATTTTTTCACCAGCTTTGGCTTTTTTCAGACGTTCCAGTGCTTCTTGCTGGCCTCTTCTAGACTTCCTCTCACGTCTAGACCGTGATGCCGCAAAACTTCCAGACTCCTGCATAGCTGCAATTAATTAAAAACAAGAGAAATAAGTTTGGTAATGAGCTGCTGTTATTTTTGGTACTTAGTGTTCAGTGATGTATTAACATTTGGTTAAAATGCCAGTAGACACCTATTTAGCTAAAAGCACACAGATAGCTCTTGGTAAGCCAATTCTGGCATTATACTGAAGGCATGGTCTCAGACAGACAGAGCTCAAACAAGACTTTGTGCCAGTTCACATTCAGCAAGAAGCTACCATGTAGATTTCCAAAGCACCTCTCAAATCTCATCAACCCTTATGTGAAAAGGATCCCCCCCACTCTTTCCTTGGGAATTTCTAGCTCCTTTTATTTTGCATGTCTCCATGACAACTCAGGAACAGACAGACTTAGAAAAGGCCTATATTGCTACAAAGCAGGAATGGTATTTTAGGTGGTTTCACAACGTTTAAGAGTGCAGCCAGATTGAGACGAACCAGAGATCTGTTGACAGCAAAAGATTGCACCCCTGTTTCCTCTTATACTTTCTTTCCTTCACAGTGCTCCCCCCAGAAAGATGCTCTCCACTTCTCTTGACCTTTTCCTCTCTCTTGATTCTGGGAGAGGGGTGGGACGGACACATTAATCTGACCACAGAGAATGAATGGTCCCAAGCCAACTTAGGAAAGCAGACAGCTAGCCCAGAACAAGACCACGAGTTTTGTGCGATGAGCTGAATCCTCCGACTGCAGGCAGAGGACACCCAGGGCTAGCGCGAGCGGCCAGGCAGCCAGAGAAGGCCAGTCCCTTCCCGGTGACAGCAAGAGGCCCAGCTGTTAACAGAGCTGCACCTAGGCATCGTGGCTGAGACAAATTAGCAAGGATTTGTATTAAGGGCTGAGAGGGGCTAAAAACGGGCATTTACACTGCCTGGCGCCAAATGTGGAAGAACTGCACAGACTTTGGGAGCATTAACACAAGGTTTTCTGTCAATTCTTTGGGTTTGCTGTAAGCAAGCGCCTAAGGCGACGCGCCCCTCCCGAAGCAAACGTTCTCCCGCCGCCAGCCGAGCCCGCCCGCGCCCGCCGGTGCCCTCAGCGGGGAAACGCCCGCGCGTCCCCAGGCTACGGAGCCAGCGGCCCGCGAGGGGGAGGTGAGCCGGCCGCCCCCCCCCCCCCGCGTTAACCCAGCCCCGCCGCCGCGGGGAAACCAGCGCCGGGGCGCGGAGCGTGTCGGTGCGGGACACAAACCGCCCCACCTGGCGTGACCCCCCAACCCCACCGGGAGAGGGTCCCCCCGCTCGGGCAGCGCAGCTACCGCCCCCCGAGGCGGGGAGCGGGAACGGGACGGGGGACGCGGGAGGCTCTCAGGCCCCTGCGGCTGGGGGCGGGTGACACCCCCTCGGCGCGCTGCCCGCCTGCCCGCCCGCACGCCCGCCGCGCACGCGCGCTCCCGCGCTGCCCCCCCCCCCCCGCCCCCCCCACGAGCAGCCGCTACCCCGTTGCCCCCCCTCCACCCCCCGCCCGCCTCAAACCGAAGCGACGAGCCGCCGCCGTCCCGCCACGGGGAGGGGAGGAGAAGGGAGGAGAGGGAGGGGAAGAGCTGCCGCCCCCCACCGAGCGAGCAGCCCCCGCGGGCCTCACCGTCCCGGCTCGGAGCGCCGCTCTCGGCCATGGCGGCCCGCTCGCGCCAAGCCTCCCGAAAGTGGCGCGAGACGGGAGCCCCGCGAGCCGCCGTCGGGGCGGCAGCCAATCAGCAGCCGCGGCGCCTCCGGCGTGGGGGGGGGCGGGCCCGGCGCCGCGGCCGCCGGTGGGGGCGGCGAAGAGAGCGCGAGCGCGGGCGGCCGTGGGAAGGGGCCGGCGCCCCCACCCCACGCCACCACCCGCACCCCCCCACACCCCGGTGCCGCGGCGGGGAAGGAAGCGCCGAGCGACGGCGGAGCCGCTTCCTGGGCGGGTGTCGGCCCGGGCTGCGGCCGAGGCCTGGGCGGGTGGCTCCCGCCGCCTCAGGCGGGCTGCGGGCCCGGCTGCTAGAGCCGCGGCTTCGCAGCCCGGAGCGGGGGCGCTTTCCCAGGCGTTGGGCGTAGGCGGTGCTCGTTAGTTCTTCCTGAGGGCCCGAGAGGGGTGTGAGGAGGTGTCGGCGCCGACCCGCGGGTTGCCTCGGGGGGATCCCCAGCAGGGCTGCCGCAAGGATGGAGGGGCCCATAGACCCCAGTGGCACGGAGCTCTTCTTGGGGCAGAACTACGTAAACGCACACTCCTGAACTGGGAGAAGGTGCTGGTTCATGTCCGGCGTCTGAAAACTGGAGCCAGGCTGCAGCGGGAGGGTCGAGGACCGGCTGCAACGCCAGCGTCGGCAGTAAGTCAGTCCCTGCTGGGAGAAACTGGCATTTCCCACACGGTTTTAAGCAATAGATAACCACTGCTAGGAGGGTGATCATAACAGACTATGACTAACATCCGTAAGAGCCGTGGTCTTCTTTTTACAAATTTAGGTATTCTGTCACAAGCTTCAGGAACTCCTTCAGTAAATTAGTCTAGTCTTCAGAGATGGGTAGTGGTTGGCCAGTTTAGTGACAACATAGCTAATGTAATGGATGCCCTCATATTTCCCAAATCACCTTTTTTTTTTCCTTCCTTGTGCTGGTCTCAGGCCAGCCAGGATTGGGGCACCGCACTGGATCACGACAAACTCACTTAAGCTTGTTGAAGGGGGAGCATTGCCAAGAGTAAATGCTACCAGGCTGTATGCAAGACCCCAATTTATTACCAAATGTTTACATACTTTTAATTTCTGCTTTTACATCCTACGGACCTTAAGATTTAGTCTGTTTACTGACCACGCGCTCATCACATGCTCGGCAGGTGATGTTCCGGCCTGCAGCTTCTCACGCTCGCAACAGGGTGTTCCACAACGTTGCCTCATTTATCCACAATCATCCCTAATCTAAAGGTCAGTTTACATGCTTGCTAACCACCAATTCCCACATTCATTCCCACATATCCCCCTCTGTTGTTTTGTAACTTCATTTCCATGGCGATCATTGCAATCCGTTGCGGTTCGGCTTTCCGTACCGTGGACAGGAGACTCTATATGCGTTGCAGGGTGGCAAGCTGTGTAAAACAAGTCAAGCATCCCAGGCCTGCCAAAGCCCACATCCATAGGTTCAGACCTGCAAACCAGTTCTCTAGGGTCGAGTCAGGATAAACTTTTGCCTAACTCTTTCATGGTGTTATCGTGTGTTAACTTCTGAATCTCAACCAATTAATGTTGTAACAAGTTATGTAGTTCGGTAACTTGTTATTGCAGATTGCTAGAAAAGGCTCCTTGTAAATGTATCTCGGGAGGAAGCCAAGCTCCTCCAGTCCACTCTGTGTCATTACTGGCTACTGGTGCATCGGGATCCCACCAACTTACTGGGGCAAAAAACGGCGGGTTGATAACATATGCCCAATACATGTGACCAGTTGCTCCCAGCAAAAACAAAAATAACAAACTTATACTTACCACCGAGTTGGTTGAAATAAGGGCCAGATAAGCAAGAAAGGTATTTTCTGGCACTGGCATCGCTCCTACCCACACCATTATGTCTTCTGCTTTCTGTTGCAGTTGTTTTAGACCTCCCCAGGTGATAGCTGCAGTCGCAGAGTTCGTAAGGGAACGTCACCTGCGTGCTGATTCCCACATTGTCAGTTGGGAGATCTGGGGTATCGAGTTGAAGGGTTGATCCTTCCAGCTCATGATATGGCTTGACTTTTCTTGACGGTATCCACTGAGGACCTGTGGGCGACAAAACACAAGCATACCCCTGCCCCCACACCAGCAGGTCTACTGGCCCTTTCCAGGTTGGGTCTCCTTCAGGATCCTTATACAAACCCTTGGTTTAGCTATGGAGTCAATTGTGGTGCTAAAATGTTGCTCCACCGCTGTCAGGGCTAAACAATTTCTGTTTAAAAAATAGAGAGTATATAAAGCCATTGCTAGCTGATTATGTGGTGTGTCCGGAGAATTCCCCCTTCTTTGTTTTAAAATCAGGGCTTTTAGTGTAGCATGTGCGCATTCAACTATTGCCTGTCCTGTGGGGTTATACGGAATACCCATCTTATACCAAATTTCCCATTGCTGTAAAAATAGTTGTCTATTTCGAGCTGTGTAGCCGAAGCCATTATCAGTTTTAATTTCTTTTGGCACCCCCACATTCGCAAAACAGCTCAGCCAGTGACTCCATACGTGCATGGCCTTTTCCCCAGGGAAGGGGGGAATGTGGCATGTATCATCCCAGAAAATGTATCAACCGTTACATGAACCTACCATCAGTGACCAAACGATAGTATATGCATTATGTCTGTTTGACAAATTTCATTGGCTTCCAGGCCTCTGGGATAAACCGCATTGTCAGAGCGGGTACCCAGTACAGCAATATCACAAGCTGAGCTATTTTTTTTTCCTGGGGAAAGTACACAAAACCCTGATGTCTGCAACATTACCTCCTTCTGATTGTCTGCATCAACTACCCCCATAATTACTCACAGTCCTTGCATGGACATGCTGGATTGACCCAAAACTAAACCTACCATTCCCAAGGGTGATGGCCCATAGACTCCAGCTGAAGCCAGATGTTACATCTGGCTCTTTAAGGATCAGTTCTGTGGCAATGACAAGGTCCAACCCTGTGCTGCTGCCTGATGCTGCACAGAGCTTGTGAATCCTTCAGCCCAGCTGTGGAGTACTTGGGGATTGTTCCGAAAGGCCCAGGCATTTGTTGGGGCGCCAGGCCTTGCGCCCCTCCTCCCGTTTCCCAAAAGAAGCATACCATTCTTAATCAAATTTTGACCAATATTGGTTAGCCCAGTAAAATCCTTTCCCACACCTGGGACAAGGTTTAGAAGGTGATGGATTTTGCTCCTTTCCTTGTTTGAAATCTTTTTTAAAATGCCCAGGCTTCCCACATGAGAAGCAAGTTCCCCTTGGTGCTGCTTTATTTCCTCCGTGCTCTACTGATAAGGCTGTGATGAGGAGCTGTGCCTTGTGGTCCTCAGTACCTACATTTTTTCAAGCTTGCAGATATTCACCAAGCTCTCAGGTTTTTCCCCGGATTGGTGCAAGCACCACTTGACAGTCAGTATTAGCACTGTCATATGCCAGTTGTAACATTAGGGCTTAGGTTGCCTCAGAGTTCTCTACCTGACCAGAGATCACCACCTGTAAACAATCAGTAATTTGCCAATATGACTCCTGAGGCCCTTGCTGGATGGTCGCAAAAGAACCCATTCTGTGTTCCCCATCAGGTACCTCTTTCCATGCTATTACGACAGCTCAGGAGTCCTGGGTACACAAGCACTGATCTTGCCAGGCTTGAACGTGGGGGTCTATATACTGCCCTTCACCGACCAGCATATCATAGCTTATCAGCATGCCGTCAGTCAAATTTTCGATGGCTTGTTTAGTACAGAGATCAACATACTCGGTTTTCCAGATGGACTACTGTGCCGCCGTTAATACCGTTTGTGTAAGTGCTTGCCAATCCCACAGAACCATTTGATACTCATTAGCAATTCCCTCCAATATACCCCTTGTAAATGGGCTTTGAAGCCCATTCTCAGTAATGCTTTTCCACAGTTCTTTAAAAACTGCATACGGCAGGGACTCATGCTGCAGCTGCTGGTTAGGTCTTGAAATTACCAGAAAAGCCAGAGGGTCCCCATTATTTAGTGCCTCCTTAAAACGTGTTTCTAGCCCAGACCCTTTTCCCTATATCTCCACCACGAATGCCTCAGGTGGGGGAGGTGGGGGGTCGGCGGTGGGCTGACGGGGAGCGGGGCATGCCGCCAGCGACACGGGGCAGGGGAGAGGAGGAGGAGGGGAAAGGGGGGGTTGGAGGGGCAGAGGAGCAGCGGGCCGATCGCACGGGACCCGCAGCTTCGGAGGTTCAGATTCTAGTTCCTCATCTTTACCCTTTCCATCCCAGCTTGTTTCTCCCGGGGGAGCACTGGGGGTTTCCTCTTTCTTCCGTTGGGACGGGGTACCCACGGGTTCTACTATTTCTCCCTCCAATGGCTGTAAATCACCATGAAAATAGCACAGAGGTAGGAACTGAAAGCCCCAGCTCTTTTTTAGTTCTAAACTCCTGTCCAACCTTCCACCATAATGCTAAATCAAAACTTCCGTCTGCCGGGAACCACATAAAATACCTAAAGATATAGCACAATAACTCATGCAGTTGATCATCTGTTACCAAACACTGAGTAGCCTTCAATAGCTGCTTTAAAACTTGCATATACAGCTTTTGTTCCTTAGAAAGCCCTGATCCCATGATTTAAGAGATAGAGAAAAGAACAATTTCTTAGAAAGCCCTGATCCCACAATTTAAGAGAGAGAGAAAAAGAGAAAGAAAACCCCTTCTGTTCTTCTGTATGCCGGCAGCTTTCCCAAAGCTGGGTGCTGCTGCCTGGTACTTACCAGATGTATGAATACTCTAGTCCAGACATCACATTCCTCCTTGGCATACGAGCACGCTGCTGTCTTCTGTTCCTCACACGGGGCACCACTGCTGGTCTCGGGCCAGCCGGCATCAGGGCGACGCACTGAATCACGACAAACTCACTCAATTTTGTTGAAGGGGGAGCATTGCCAAGAGCAAACGCTACTGCTACGCTGTATGCGTGCCCCCAATTTATTACCAAATGTTTACATACTTTTCATTTCTGCTTTTACATCCTATGGACCTTTAGATTTAGTCTGTTTACTGACCACGCGCTCATCACATGCTCGGCAGGTGATGTTCCGGCCTGCGGCTTCTCATGCTCGCAACAGGGTGTTCCACAACATTGCCTCATTTATCCACAGTCATTCTTCTAATCTAAAGGTCAGTTTACACTTTTGCTAACCACCAATTCTTCATTCCCACACCTTGCTAGACATGAAAAGAATGGATTCAGACTGGGTTTCTTAAGAGGCCAAATGCATGGAGGGCTCAGAGAAAAGACCTGTTAGAGGTTTTTGCATGCATACACCTGACTTTGGTGGGATGGGGAGGTAGGGTGTGTTCTGCTCATCTTGATGCTATAAGAGATGCCTTCACTTGCATGTGTCAAGAGTATTACACACCAGCCTTCAATTTAGGAGCAAAAACTGTGTCCAGGAAAGGATATAGTTGAGTTTCAAGTATAGTTGGACTCAGTTAAGAAAACTGAAGCTTTACAAGTCCTCTCCTCTAAAATGACTTGGATCTGTCTGCCTGTGCCTTCATCAAGAAACCTGGGGAAACTGGTGGGGTTTGTGCTGTTTCACCACAGATTAACCTTGATCTGTTTTCCCAATAACATCAGTGTTGACCACTGCTCAAAGAACTTGCCATCATTTGCAGAATTTTCTGGAGGAGCGTTTCCTGCTCATGAAAATACGTAGGCACTGACCAGCTTCTTACAAAGGCAGGTAGCACCAGCACTTACGAGCCACTGGAGAGGAGATAGAACTCTGTCCTTATGGCTGCTACACTGTTGCAGCAGCATTAGCTAGTAGTATTCTGTCTGTATATACTGACAACTTTCAACCATCTAGAAGAGAGAATTTTTATGGTTCTGAAAATGAAAATTGTCTTCCTTCCCCACAAGGACTCCTTTGCATTGGTAAGAGAGAAATAACAAACCTACCAGACATTGATACTCCTAACTTATCTACCCAGTTTCCTGTACAACGCTACCTCTCATTGCTGGACCTACTCTTAGATGGAAGCAGAAGCAGCACTCTAACCGCCTGTAGCAGCTCCCTGGTGCCGAAGGAGACTGGCCACCCCAACAGCCAGGGTGCCCATTCCCAGGCACATGAGGGAACAAGACCATCCCTCTCCACAGCAGCTAGTTATTACGTCAGCTTAGCTGCAGCAAACCTGCATCCTTGGAAACACTTGACAACTACAGGAAGAATGCCTGTCTGACCTACAGACAGCTTTCCATTTGGTGCAGCGTAACCACTGTTCAGTTTATTTCTTTCTTTTTAAACACGTGCACAAAACAAGGTCACACCACCAAGCACGATGTGGGGTTCAAATTCAGAAGTTACTCAAATTTTTAAGCTACAATAGAGGAACATTTAGAAAATAACAATATCATGAAATTCTTCAGTTTGAATAAAAATAGAGTGATACTGAATTTCACATATACCTAGCTTTCACATGCTTTGGAATTTTGAACTGACTGGCTTTTAATGCTTTTGATTAAAATAAAACAATACTCTTTGTCAGCTGTCATACAAAGAGTGGCGTGTTTGTCATTCAGGTGATGCCATGATTTGAGCCAGTACACAGTGATACAGTTAATTTACCAAACTGAAGTTGTTGCCATATCTCCACTGTGGGCCAGTGCAGATCAAACAAAAGCCTTCTTCATGAATGCTAGTTCAATCCTGACATTCATCTCTGGCCATAACAAGAATGCATCTGTTTCCCGCAGCACAGCATAACAAGCATATTTAATGCTGCAGGGGAAAAAAGAGGGCAGGGGCCAGAGGATGTGCTTCGCTTTGGAAAAGAAAAATAACCCAGCAAGATCTGGGACTTCCTCTGCTAAATGGCTTTATCACAGCAGATTACTTTGAGCTGATCTTTAATCTCCCTTGGGACAGTCATACAAGAACAACTTGGCATGACCTTTGCTCAAACGTCTTTTAAGTAAAAGAAGTGGGAATTCTGCTGTGCAGTTCCGAGCCACCCAAGGTTCTCTCAAGGAAAGTGTGATAGCTGAAGAGAAAAGTGCATGAGAAGCACAGTAACGAAGATGGTAGGCAGCCAAAAACATGGTACAGAAGAGGAAGCTCAGGAAATTCCTCGATTTCAACAAAAGGTGACAAAGATGTATTTTCTATGTTGTTTTCTTAGAGCTGTAATTTAAATACATAAGTTATGAATAGAAAATATTGTAAATTTATTGCAAGAGCTCCAAGATAATATAAACACTAGTATATACTAACATATGAAAGTACAAATGCAGTATAGTATCAAATTTAGGTTAAATGGACTAATTACTGGATTGAGGATTATTCTTGTCTTCCTTTTTATGTCTAGGGCATGCTTGATCTGTCTCAAAGACAGTAGTACAAAAAGTTAAAACTCTTAGATTCAGACGCTACACATTAATCTTATGGTTGGTAATTTTTTGATGATGGAAAAAATCTGTTGAAACTAAGAGGAATGGTATAAAAAACTAATAGGGTTGGTATAAAAAACAGCATGTGAGTAAACCATGAATTTTATCAAGATAGCAAATTCACCTGTACTATGTCTAACTCACAATACTTAAACATTATTATATTGTTCTTAAATACAGAGTGTCTTTGTGGAGAATTGTGTGTGTGCATGCTAGTGCTCAGGATATGAGTGTATATGCTCTATGTGTATCTTTCCTACAAATGTGGAGTATTTAATTCTCTTACTTTTAATCCTTACATTAGTTGGAATTAATTGATGTTATCACTCAATTAACTTAAAGATTTTGCATCTAATCTGACTGAGCTCTGACTACTTCATTTCACCAACTGCTTAATAAACTACGCTATTCATGTGACATTTCAACATGAATTACTTAACTGTATGCGGGACTAAACTCCTGAAGGAGCACAGATTACCTAAATTAAAAATAAAAAATCTCAAAGTATTACTTACCAAGAGGTCTTTGTTTTTGAAACTCTTCACAGGTAGTTAACTGATAGAAATATGAAGAAATAGATGCTTCTCCATCTGTTTATCAATAAAGATAATGCAGACATTTATATTCAAAGGGTAGGTTCCTTGCTTACCAGGCCTTTAAATGCCTTTTGTTCACTGTGCAGATCTTTTTAATTTCCTACCCGAGTTAGCTGCTAACATCAGGATGAAGAGAATAAGGAATAAAGTTGCTATTAGGATGTTAAGGCTCTGAAATGCAAATGTGAAATAGAAGCTAGAACAACCCATTAACTTCCATTCTGACAGAAAAAAAGGTCTATGGAATGAACATCCAGAGATACTTATTTAAAAAAAAAACCATCAACAAACAACAACAAAAAAACCCCACATAATATTCTGATTGCTGTTAAATTACAGCAAATTCTAGTAATTCGACCTGAATTGGTGGCATTACACTAACCGGAATAGAGAGCAGAATCTCATCACCTGCTTGCCTAATACAATATTCCTACTCAAGCCTAGAAGTACAAAATATTATAATGTAAATTAAATAGGGAAGACAAGTGAGAGCAAACTCACAGAGAATGAGCCCTCACATAATTATAATGTCTAAGAATTAAGTCTGATGCCAGTGGTATTCAAGAGCATACAGTTATTGCCACAGCATGAAAGTCTCTGTTTTAACTACTTTCAGCGCTCTCTCTTTACAATTGCACAAAAATGAACAATTAATGTATAAGCAGAACATTATTGCAGAGAGGCTGTTACATTTCAAGACCTGGCTGAAGATCAAACGTGCTTCTATGGGTGAATACTCTCAGCATTCACCCTTTCACATCTCTTCAGCAGAAAGGAGGACAGCATCATGAGATGCTGCAAAGTCTTGTTGCAATCCTGACACCTCTCTGTTGCTGGATGGGTGCTGGTGAAGGCCGTGCTCAGAGCGTGGGGAAGCAGCAAGGGCCAACCGCTCTCTGTGGGCAGGAAGCCCAGCATGGCAAGGCTGGCAGGACAGTCGGGGCCCTGTCCCCCAGCCTCTAAGGTCCGTGAGGCAGGGCAGCCCAGGGATGGGAGTCAGGGGCAGCCCAGAACCCAGACCAGACAAGTCCGCCGTGATGAAGCAGGTCTGAGATGAAACCAGAAATGAGACTCGGGGTCGGGTCCAGTGATGGTAACCTGGGTCAGGCGCAGCCCAGTGATCACCAGGTGATCATGGTGATAAGGCAAGTCAAAAGTCAAGCCACCAAGTCATCCCATGTGTGGGGACCAGGATCAGGCCCGATGACAGTAACCAGCATCAGACATAGCCTGGGCATCACCAGACTAGTCTGTAGAGATGAGGCAGGTCCACCATCAGGCCAGGAAGCCAGGGGCCTGGCTGTGGCTGAGCTGGAGACCAGCAGCACTCCTACAGCCCAGCTCCAGCAAGGACATGGTGCCAGCCAGATCTCAGAACCCCCAAGCAGAGGGCAGGGGACCCAGGTGGGTCTGGTCAGAGCTGTCAGTGCCCTCAGGGCCCTGGCAGCACACACACATCTCCCCCAGACATGGTGTGTCCTCACGCTTTAGAGATCTGTGTTCAGAAGGCGTTTTCTGTGGAGGGATTTAGTGAGTGTGGGTTGTCAGTGGGCTAGCCTGGGACAGGGTCATGGCAGAGGGGACTTGCCGAAATGCTAGAGGCCACCCCCCAGAGGCTGCCAGGTGGGCTCTGGGAGGAGGGTTCACTTGGGAGCTGGGGCTGGGAAGGGGGCCAGGATGGTAGGGACACCAAAGCCCAGGGTCAGGCTGATGACTTGGGAGGAATTAAGACTCCACACAGCCATGGGCCAGACCCCACTGTGTTCAACTGAGGGCTTAGGAAGGTCTGAGCTAGCTGTCAGGGTGCATCAAGGGTCACGGGGAGACGACAACATGATATGGTGGGTGGGGTAGGGACCCTGCCACCCAGGGCCCCATCCCACAGCCCGAGGCAAGGTATTCTGAGCAGCCCTAGCCGAGAATCCAGGTCATCAAACCGGATTTCAGACTTGCCTCTTCACCACAAGCAAGCCAGAAACACAAGACACAGTCAGGTCCAGTGACGGTAACGTGAGTCAGACACAGCCCAGCAATCACCAGGCAAGTCCATGGAGATGAGTCAGGTCCTAGGCCAGAGAAGGAAGTCAGTCCATGAGTTGAGGTCAAGATCAAGAGGGTCCATGGCCAAGCTCAGCCGGAACACAGCCGGAGCCACCCACTCCTACAACATAGTTCAGGCACGGACTGAAGGCCCGGGGCTGAATTGAAATGGGGCTCTTCGGCCCTTGGGCAGCAGGATATGGGGACACCCCAGCTAAGGGTGGTCAGGGCTTTAAAACCTATTAATGCATTCAGAGCACTGACACAGATTACATGTCAACCTAATCGTATGGCCAGAGCCCTTCATATGTTACAATGAAATCTTACATACTCCATCACTTTCTATATTTATATTTGGCCTTCTGGTATCGTTAACATTTCACTGTGCTAGGGCAGGAAAACTACAGAAGTTTAGCTGTTACTAAGGGTCACTAGTTCTCTCATTTTTACATGTATGGACCTCAGGGTCCTGACACATAGGAAGTGACATACCCAAGACCAAATTTGCCCAATTTTCTTGAAAATAGAAAACAGCACACCACCATCATGAGTGCTGAACCTTCAAACAAATATCAAATCTCTCCTCCCAGTCATGAAAACTCTTAAGTATTTCAAAGAAAAAGCCCCCAAAAACATCTGCAAGGTATTCTCAATCTCTTTTCCATAAAAATCTGCATTATGCTGGTAGAAGTTATCCATAACTGCTCAGTGGGTAGAAGATGCCCAGCCGGTAGATAACATGTCAGATCAAAAGTTTAAAAGGTGGCAAAGTTATAAGCAACTGAAATAAGATCTTAGGGTCAGACACTCTTAAAAACTAGCAAAAGCTAAACCAGATGGCAAATAATAATTTTGCAGTGCGTAAATACATGTTTAGTTTTATATGAAGTATGTATCTCTACCCAGATTATGAAAACTTCCAATTATTAAGTTTTCGGTACGCAAAATATTAAACATGTACTCCCAACAATCACTTGAATGCAGTTTACAGTATGACTTTTTCATGTTTTACTTGGCAGATTTGCATTTGAATTAATATGGGAGAAGACCTGTGAAAGCATTTGCATGGAAAATTGACAAATAGGAAAATAAAGGTTGACAAAAATAGTGAAGGGGAAAAAAGGTGTTGGAGACTGTAATACTGGAAAAGACAGTGTGACAGAATACTGATGATCAGTCCAAGAAGTCTGAAATCAAGCTGGGGGAAAAGGAAGGCATCAGATAGATTGAAAATGGGTAGAAGTGAGTGCAATACGAATATGTGTAAGAAAGGCAGTTTTAGCTTTGTGTGGATTTAAGGGGATTGAAGTGCATATCTAGAAAGCCAGAAGAGGGCAAAAAGAGAAAGGAGGGATAACAACATAGTTTAAATGTAAATAGGAAAGAGATTTTTCTTAAATTATATTTTATCTGTAACAATAAGAAGCAGGACAGAGGATATGAATCATTTAGGCAAAGTTTATACTGAGATATATAGAGAGATCTGTAATATTCAGCATTATATTTCTTGATAGCAGTAAAGTTGCAGCTGTAGTACTGTGCTTGCACCGCTCTACAAGAAACCTATAGAGAACCCAAAATAGAGCAGGGAAGATAACAAGAACATCTGTAAAATATGACCTGTGAGAAACTATTGCAACAACTGGGGCAGTTTAGTCTAAGAAAGTCAAGAGATGTGACAACAATACCAACCTACCTGCCGAATGTCACCTCTCTACTCCAAATCCTCAAACTATTGTTTCAAAATCTTAACCATACGAGTCATACAAAAAGCAAAAGAGAGTACATCTCATCTCTATGTCCAGTAGAAGAAGCAAGCAGGGGCAATAGATTGCAGCAATGGAGGTTCAGGATAGACATTAAGAAAAACTTTCTAATAAGAACCAGCAGTGGTAAGAGTGGGTTGACTAGATTGTAGGGGTTCTGGGAAGGGAATGACCAACTAGCTAACCAAAGTGCTTCCCAACCTCTGTGCATCCAGCAGGGGAGTCCCACTACTGGAAACCCCTCATCCTCACCTGACAACTCAATAATCAAAAGCTTGATTGTTAAAATTAACAAGGACAACAGAACAATCTAATTACAGGAGAGAGAAATCTAACATTTCTTACCATCTCTCTGACTGGAAAAATAAAATGAAGACAGATACCCTCTTGGTCAAAAACCAAACATAATTTCTCACCATATGCTTCAGAAGTGCTTCTAAAAGTAGTTCATGAAAGAGCAAGAACACTGTTGCGGTTTGAGCCTGGTCTGCAGCCAACCAACACACAGCCACTCTCTCTCCCTTCTCTTCTGGCAATGAGAAGGGACAGAGATCCAGGCTTGGGGTTTGAGATAGGACTGGGATGGGGAAAAATCACCCTTTATGGTCACAAGCAAAAGGCAGACTTGTCAGGGGAAGAAAAAAAAAGAACATACATTTATTACAAACACTAACAACACATAACAGAGTAGGACAGTGAGAAGCATTGCCACATCTTGAGAACATCTTCCCCCAACCCCTCCCTTCTTCCCGGGCCCAGCTCTGCTCCCGATATCTCTACCTCCTCCCCCAGTGGCGCAGGGGCAGGGAATGGGGGGGTGCAGTCAGTGCTGCTGCTTCTTCCATCTTCGGTGGGGGGAGCTTCTGGAACTTGTTTCCCCGGTCCATCGTGGTCCCCCTCTCACAGGAGACAGTCCCCCACAAACTTTCTCCGACATGAGTCCCTCCCACGGGCCACAGTGTTTCCTTACACTGCTCCAGCGTGGGTCACCAACTTTCTCCAGCTGGAGTCCCTCCCACGGCTGCAGCCCTTCCCGAGCTGCTCCAGCGTGGGACACCCCCGCATGCTGCAATCCTCCCAGCACTGAATTACAGCAGCAAGGCTACCTTTTCCCACAAGACCCCAGCCTTCTTCGGGCACAGCACCTTGATCATCCAGGAGAAAAACACAGGCTATAAATCAGTGTCTGCTCCACTGTAGATCTTCATGGGTGGCGGGGGGGGCCACCCTGCCGTCTCACCACAGGATACAGGGGGGTCTCTGCTCCGGCACACCTCCCCTCACCTCCTTTCTTCCTCCGTTCCTCCACTGACCTTGGTGTTCATGCAGCTGCAGCAACTCCTCCTCACAAGTCCCACTGCCCGTCACCACGTCCCTTCTTAAATACGTTATCGCAGAGGCGCAGCCGATTGGCTCAGTTTTCGAGCAGAGGTGGAGTTGACTTGGAGCTGGGGGAGCTTCAAGGGGGGTAAAGGCAAGCTATAGCTGCCCCTATAGCCCCCTCCTCTGCTACCAAAAAACCCCACCACTCATTCAAACCCAAGACAAACACAAAGAACCTACCCCAAAGTGGGTAGCCCCACTTATTTAAAACAGTGCTATAAAGCACAGATGAATGGCATCATCAAAAGCCACTGTTTTCAAGAATTTATGGATTTCAGATGATTTATATTTAAACTGTACTGGAATTAACATGACGTTTTAAATTAAACTAATTGATCATCTCAGCAATAAGGTATCTTTTTCTGCCATTTTTTTGACTACTAATTCTAGCATGTCTAGAATTAGTATGACATAGATAGGTAGATAGATAGATGATAGATAGATAGAGAGATAGAGAGATAGATAGAGAGAGAGATAGATAGATAGATAGATAGATAGATAGATAGATAGATAGATAGATAGATAGATAGATAGATAGATAGATAGATAGATAGGTAGATAGATAGATGGATAGATGCGTACCTACATACATACATAGAAACATACTATTTTAAATAATCTGCTCCGGACATAAACCATTCCTCCAGCTCATAAAGTCTTGCAGTTGGCAGTCATTAAAACCTTCAGGCTCCAAAATATATACATTGCAGCAAGATTCAACTCATCTTTTAAATATTCAATAATTTATTCGATGATGTTTTCTGTAGAAGTTTGGCTTTGAAGTCAAACACTACTTAACCATACCAGTCTGTGATTTTCCAGTTTCCTGCTGACTTTTTAAGAGAATTTAACAAAAATTACATGAGGATCTATTTATCTTCATTATGTTTTTGTTATAAGTCAGAGGACTCCTGCAGCCTCTCTCATGAGAAGACCATTTTAACTGCAACTTCTACTGTGCTAACTGGTGCTTGAGAGCCACTGAGGCACTTCAGACACTTATGATATTCTCCAAGGGCTGCAATGTATTCCAGCAACTGCTTTGACAAAGGGCATCAGAACAATGGAGTATCTTTGCTTTAATAAAGCAAATGTTGCAGTCCTTAGCCTGGAGAGTATGTTGAGCATTTACAGACCTCTCTGGAGTAGTGCAGACTTCTCTGGACAACTGTGAGCAACTAAGCCAAAACACCTTGTTAGCAAGTGGCTTGGATGTAAATCATTATAATCTGCTGCAGATAGCAGGCTGTATCACTGCTTTACTGTTGGAAACAGCAGAAAGCACTCCTTGTTAAGTAGTTGGGAAATGTATATAATTTCCCTGCTCAAGCAGTTTGAGGTCTTTAATAGGTTCATTCACAATTTCCAAGTACAGGTTGCTCCTTCTAGGAATTCTGCCTTAAGATAAGGATGCGAGTAGTGTATACTAAACAGCATAGCTATGAACTTGCATGTAGTAGGTTTGATGAAGTAAGCTTCTTGCTTATCTTAATCTATCAAGTATAGAGAAAAGAACTCCTCTGAGGGAAGTGGACAGATTAATACATATTCAGATTTCAGCTATGTTGGCCTACCAGTGCTGGTCTGCTAGAATCAGTTTAACGTGCATAATATGGTAAAAGCATGACAGAAGTTTTATAGGTGCTGGTGTCTACAATGAATTGAAGTTTGTGTAGTTATAGCTGTGGGCACTGATCAACACTCCACTAACAGATTTTTAAAATATGAAAGAATAAATAGAAAAAAAAAAAAAAAAGCGGAGAGATATTTAAAAACTAGGGCTTGAAGATATAGAAGAATCTCCACACAATATTTGTATCTATAATGTTCAGCTGCCCATAAAGCTCAGAGAGGGATAATACTCTGAGTATGAGAAATGAAAGGATTTAAATGTAACACCTGAACATATTTATTTTTTTTTTACGTTTTTCATACTTTGCGAATTGTTCCAGTTTGGAAACTGAAATTCCATATAGACAAATCCCCACCACATATAAGATGGAACCCTCTTAACAGCCAAGGTTTTTCCCTCATTGCTGTCTATTCAATTCAGACCTTGGAATTAGTGTTAAAAGGATTGGTATCATAGTTTCCTGGCTTGTTTGCATGTAATGTTAATTTATGCACCCTGGGACAGGATTTTATGCATCAGATGTCTATTCAAGCCCAAGCAGCTGCTGCCAAGAGCTCAGTCATTAAAGGCAGTGGCTACGCATCCCTGTTACTTCTGAAGGAATGGCAGGAGGACGCCCAGGAGACCATACTCAGCCTGGTGCAGGATATTTGGTTACATAAAAGAAATTAGATACACGAACCTTCCCACCCATCACTCTTGCTCCACTGTACTTTTAAAAGCTGGCTGACTTGTTAGGATTTACAGATGACCATCTGCTAAGCTTCTCCAGTCAAACCTAATTTTTATTTGTTTATTTTAGAGAGTAAAGAAGACACACTCCAGCCTTCTGAAAGCCCATTTTGCCCCCACAGCTAGAAGACGACTCAATTTAGAATATCTTATTGAAGATATCCAATATGTTGACTAAGACCATCACAGCCAAGATGGCCTGTGACAAATTCCATTTGGATAGACATGTCAGACTCCACAACCTTCCCTCTGCCGTTATTTCAACTCACTATTAATGAGGTACACAACATTTCCCAATCACGCTGTTCAAACAGAAGGGAGAAACAAAAGAAAGTATTTCCCAGAGATGAAAGTTAAATAAGCAGCAAGAAAAGCATTCCACTTCAACTTTGAAATTCTGCCACGACTTAGATAGGTGACAACACTACTGTAAGAGAGATATCATTCTTTAATGCTACATGTATATGGAAAAACTTACCTCGAATCAAAATGCAGCGAGTCAACAGCAAACTCTCAGCAGCATGAAAGCAAAGATGAAATTCACCCCTTCATGCTCAAAATAAATAAAAGGCAAGGGAATTTACATTTCCAGTTTGTTGGCAATCATCCAGCTGCCAGAAGGTCCATCTCCCTTTCATCTCTCTTCCGACACACCTGCCTGGCCAGGGAGGGCTGGACACTGACCCCGGGTATGTCCGTACCTGGTGCTACTCCTTCAGCACAGCAGCACCCGTCTCTCAGGTGCTGGCATACGTGGTTGTGCTTGTAAAAGGGCTACCCACTACCTCTGGCTGCTCCAGTCCTAACACTGCCCAGCCATGCTGTCCAAATACTCTTCCAACAGCATAACACTCCTGCAAACATTTTTCCTAAGAAAATGAGCTACAGATTTTGGGCAGAGTGCTGCACTGGTCGTGGTTTAATCATTTCCCTCAAGCATGCATTCCATAACATGTGAGGAGTCCTCACAGAGTAACTGATAAAGGAACTTAGTCATGAGAAAAATACTCAGCTGTGAGATTCAGTTAGTTTGGCTACCTGTTCTCCTTGCTCAGTCACCTCTTTTGGCATGTATTTTCCTTTTTTCTTGACTGCTGTCTCATTCTTTCTTTTCACACTCTCTTTTCTTTCTACTTTCTTTCTCATCTCCTCTTCTTCACTTACCTACCCCTTTCCCTTTCACATAGCTCATATATTTTGTTTGCATTGCACTTGGCCTCCTTTGAAGATGTGCAAAAGATAAGGTATTTGAAATTAAGGTCTCAACTCCTAGGGAGTGACCCTGAGGCACAGTCCTCTTGTAACTCCTCACAGCCCTGGATGGCCTTTAAACGTTTGTGTCCCTTGATCAAGTCTGTTTTTTAAAACCAGCGCTCACAGTGCCCACCGCAGCTGGGTCCTGCTGGAATCCACTTTAACGAATCCATCAGGGTTAACAACAGCCAGTGGAGTCTCTCCGTTCTAAAAGGCGTTGGCTTTATATTGCCTTGATCGTGTTCCCGTGCTCCTTGAGAGCGAGGAGGCCGGGTGTCTCAGCTCAGCAGCGTGGGAGCCACGGCTGCGCGTGGCCCTGACTCCTGGGCTGGCACCTGCCCGGTTCCCCGCCAAGGGCCTGGGAACGCTCCGCTGTCGCCGAGTTGGCCGTGACGGAATAGACGGGGCCGCTACCGTTGCGACCGCGTCCCTTTACCCGTCTCCTGGCGGAAGAGCGGCATTTTTACCTAAACCGTTGAGAGCAACTTTATTTCTTTAGCACCGCAGATTTGCAAAAGCACTGCCCAGAAACTAACTCGACCCAAGTGGAAGCGAACACCCATTTCCGAAAGCAACGCAGCCCGGCCCGGCCCCTCAGTTCTCCTGACGTCACTTAACCGAACGCCGTGCGCCGCGCGGCGGCAGCGCCGGGGCCGTTCCAGCCCTGCTCCCACGAGGCGCTCCTCAGCCCCTCCTTCCCCGCGGGAACGTGGAGGGGGGGAGGGGGCGGGGGCCTCCTTCCCCCCTGGGGGTGGGGGTGGGCGCGCGCCGGTGACACGCAGGGTGCGGCGCGGGCGGCCCCACGGCCGCGGGGTCCCGCCGCGGGGCGGGGCGGGGCGGACGTTACCGGTGGGCGCGGCGGGGCAGGAGCTGTCCGTTCAGCACCGCCGCCGCCCCACTCCTCGCTCCCCGAGGTCAGTTTCGAACGGGCCAAACCTGCCCCCCACCGGGGGGAGTTCCCGGGGCCGGCGGGCGCTGAGCTGCGGCTGCGCACGGCCGTAGGGGCGGACACGCCAGCGCGGCCCTTGGCGCGGCTCCGCCACCCAAATGCCCGCGCCGCTCCGGCACGCCGCGGTGCGTGACGCCGAGCCGCGCCTGCCCGCGCTCGGGGCGAGGAGGGGGGGGGGGTCCTCACCTCGTCCCCGGCGGCGTGGGGAGTACGCGGGACGGACACACACACACACACACACACACACACACGGGAAGGTCTCCGAGTGGGAGCCCCGCGTGGGGCCGCGGCGGGGCCCGGGACCGCCGGGGAGCCGGCGGGGGGAGAGGGGAGGGGGCGGCAGTGGCGCGGCGGGGCAGCAGCCAACCAGGAGGCCGCATGCAAATGAGCGCAGAGGGAGGGAAGGAGGGGAGGGGGGGGCGCGCCGCCCGGTTGCCATGGTGACGCGCGGCGGCCGTGCCCCCGGGCGGCTCCCGGGGAGACCCCCCGCGGGGCGGGCGCGCGCGTGACGGCGGAGCCCCGCGCCGGGCGGGCCCGGGCGGCGGCGGCGGCGGCGGCGGGCGAGGCTGCCGCCGGCCATGCCAGTGCTCGCGCCCGATGCTGAGTCAGAAGCAGGTATCCCGCAGTCCCCCTCAGAGGCGCGGCGCTCGGAGGCCATGGAGGAGCTGGAGCACACCTGCCCCCAGCCTCGCCTGGTGAGTCGGGCCCGGCCCCGGGCGGCGGCCCGGCCCTCGCCTGGGCCCTCCCGCCCCGGGCGCTGCGGGGCGGGGGGCCGGGGCGGGAGGGGGCTCCGAGGGAGGGAGGGAGGGAGGGAGGGAGGGAGAAGGCAGCGCCGTCTGACGGTAGATCCCTTTGTGTAGCGCCGCGCCCCCGCGGGGAAAGGCCAAGCAAGGGCTGCTGTGGGAGTGGGCTGCCGCGGGGGTCCCGCCCGGGCTGCGCTTTGTCGCGTGGGGAGTTCGGGGAGTACGGTGACAGCCAGGCAGGATTTCTGGGCCCTTCTTTAAAAGCAAAAATAGAAATAACGCATATACCACACACACACACACACACACACACACACACACGTCCCCAGCCCCCGGCGGATGAGGGTGCCTGTGGGAAATGGTGTGGCGAGGGCTGCCGCGCCGGTGGAAGGCTCGCGTGAAGTAGCCGGAGCACAAAGCCGCGATTTCGGCTCAGGTAACGGGAGGCATGTGACTCGGTAAAGCCCGGTTACAATTAAAAAAAAAAAAAAACCAAACAAACAAAAAAACAAAAAGCAAAAACCCCCAAACCAAACAGTTGCGCGTCTTTGATACTGAATTCGGAGGAGGCGGCGGCGGGGAGCGGTGGCAGGTGCCGGCCTCTCCCCACGCCGCCGCGGGGGACCTGAGCGGTGGCGCCGGCCCCACGGGCGCGTCCTGCCCCACGGGCGCGTCCTGCCCCACGGGCCGGCAGCCGAGGGCCTCCTCTGCGGGCACCGGCCCGGCCGAGCCCGGCCAGCGGCAGCGCACCCGGGAACGGTAAATCCCTCTTTCTTCGTCTTGGGAGCTCGGTGAGGAGTTGCCTGTTCGATTCGGGATGTGTCAGGCGGAGAGAGAGTCTGGGGAGAGCTGCGTCCTGGGGAGGAAGGAGAGCAGGGAGAGTGGTAGTTAAAATAAGCACCTTTGATGGTTTTCAGTTAAAGGTGAGGGAAGGCTCCTTCAGATCGTGCAGGCAACCCAACCCTACAAGGCAGTTGTACCTTAGGAGTTAAGAATCTGAGAACTGCCCTTTTTTTCACGTGCTAATTTAAAATATTTGGAATGTTTCCTTACTTCTTTTTTAAAACTTTTATTACTCCCATCAGGAATGGTCACTGCTTTCCCCAGCATGGTACGCGCCACTGGCAAGGTGGTAGAGAAATAATAACGATGCACACACAGCAATGCAGAGGCAGTGTCAAGGTATGAAAGTGCGTGATGGATGCAACAGTTTAGTGCTGGAAACTAGATTATTTAACGCCAGAATTCAGTCACAGTCCTAATTAAAACATATTTAAACATCAAACTTCAGTAATTAAATTCAACACAATACTTGAGACACTGTTCTGATATGACAAGAAATAGAAACAGTCTTTGGAGCTGACCTAAATTAATGTTTTCTACTTCCTAGTGTTATAATTAGAATCAACTTTAAAGAAGACTGTTAATTTGTTCATGGAAGGCTT